TTAAAACAAGCACCAATTCTCCAGCCCAGCATTCTGGGAGCTTCACCAAATGGTTTCAACCTACTTACCTAGCCTTGTCTCCTATGACTTCTTTATTCACATCATATATTTTAGAAAACTGAACTAGATACAACATTTGTTGCTGATCATATAGTCTTTCTGCTTGGACTGCTTCTTCCATCTCATTTAATTTCGCTAAGAGCATGACAAATGCAGCTTCTCTCATCAAATTATTTGTTCTGCTCAGACTAGATGAAATATCTCCTTCCAAACCCAGATGACAACAATTTCCAACTTGGGATGCTGCTCTGTTCTGGCTTGTGTTACAGTTATCTGGCCATTTGACTTATCTACTTGTCAGCTCTTTGAGGACAAGGACTGCCTACTTACCTTGGTCTCCATAAGATATACTTTTTTTTTTTTTTTTTGAGACAAAGTCTCTGTCACCCAGGCTGGAGTGCAGAGGCACAGTCTTGGCTCACTGCAACCCCTGCCTCCTGGGTTCAAGCGATTCTCCTGCCTCAGCCTCCCAAGCAGTTGGGATTACAGGCATGTGCCACCACACCCAGCTAATTTTTGTATTTTTAGTAGAGACAGGGTTTCACCATGTTGGCCAGGCTGGTCTTGAATTCCTGACCTCAAGTTATCTGCCCACATCAGCCTTCCAAAGTGCTGAGATTATAGGCATAAGCCACCATACAGGGTCTGCACGGTATACTTTCATGTAGCAGGTCCTCATCTCAGATTTACTGAGTCAAAGTTGCTGATAAAAGGTTAGCTGTTCCAAGGCTGGGTGTGGTGGCTCAAGCCTGTAATCCTGGCACTTTGGGAGCTGAGGCAGACAGATCACCTGAGGACGGGAGTTCGAGACCAACAAGGTTGGTCTGACCAACAAGGAGAAACCCTGTCTCCACTAAAAATACAATATTACCCGGGCATGGGGATGCATGCCTATAATCCCAGCTACTTGCGAGGCTAAGGCAGGAGAATTGCTTGAATCCGGGAGGTGGAGGTTGCAGTGAGCTGAGATCACACCATTGCACTCCAGTCTGGGCAATAAGAGCAAAACTCTAAAACTCTGTCTCAAAAAAAAAAAAAAAGAAAGGTTAGCTGTTCCTAAAGTCAATACCTGTCAATCTTGCTCAGGGAGAAACTGTATTTTTTTCTTTTGCTATTTTCAAAACTTGAAAGGAATTAGTCTAGAAAATCATCCTGTTTTCAATTCTTAGAGTAATAAAAGAGACTTATTTGACTGCAAATTTCTTTAAAAAAAAAAAAAAAAAGAGCCTAAGAAAACAGCCCTCAAGATGGAACAAATATAAAATGTAACACAGACAAAGATGGTATAAAAGTTGAACAGACACTAGAAATCCATTACCCACAGTGCATAGTGCAGAAAGAATTTCACCCAGCAAGGATTTGGAATCCTGCTAGAAAGGAGGTTTAAAATTTAAATGAACATGGAGGAACTCCAATCTCTTAGAAGCCATAGGATACTAAAAACTCTAAAAATTAAAAAAAAGTAGGGTCAGGCGTGGTGGCTCACACCCGTAACCCCAGCATTTTGGGAGGGGGAGGTGGGGAGATTGCTTGAGCCCAGGAATCTGAGAACAGCCTGGGCAACACAGTGAAACTGTCTGTACAGAAATACAAAAAAAATAAATAAATTAGCTGGGCATGGTGGCATGAGCCTGTAGTCCCAACTACTCAGGAGGCTAAGGTGGAAGGATCACTTCAGCCCAAGAAGTTGAGGCTGCAGTGAGCTGTGATTGCACCACTGTACTCTAGCATGGGCAACAGAGTGAAATCTGTTCTCAAAAAAAAAAAAAAAAAAAAAGAAAGAAAGAAAAGAAAAAAAAATATGTATCAAAGAGAGATATTCAAGATTCAACTTTTCAAAAATAAGCATATTAGTTAAATACAGATGAGATTTTCCTATAATAATTATATACCATGGTCGGATAATTTTCATTGGAAAGTACACTGAAATTCACTGCAACCTCTCCCTCCCCAGCTCAAGCCATTCTCCTGCCTCAGCCTCCCAAGTACCTGGAATTACAGGCATGCACCACCACAAGTGGCTAATTTTTGCATGTTTAGTAGGGATGGGGTTTCACCATGTTGGTCAGCCTGGTCTTAAATTCCTGACCTCAGGTGATCCACCTGCCTTGGCCTCTGAAATGTTGGGATTACAGGTGTGAGACATGGCACTGGGCCTCATTTTTCATTATAGAGTAATACAACTTCATTTAGAATATTTTAGAATATATTACAACACTTCCAACACTATTTCTGTTAATATTTTGATCTCCTCCAATTGATTCTGCTTATTTCCCCATCCCCTCCAACTCAGTTTACTATAATCTAGTTTATTCAATAATGGATGTGAAATAGATCTATAACCAAGTGTTTATAGGCATATAGGTAGATCATTTCTATATCTTTGCTATCAATGACAATGCAACAGTTTTATGCACATAACCTATACTTTGGGTTGTTTTATTGATTGATTTCAAGAAATAAGGTATTTTATCAGAGAGGAAAATAACTTCAACAAATTGTTTTCTAGCCAGGCATAGTGGCTCATGCCTATAATCCCAGCACTTCGGGAGGCTGAGGCAGGTGGATTACCTGAGGTCAGGAGTTTGAAACCAGCCTGGCCAACATGGCGAAACCCCATCTCCACTAAAAATACGACAATTAGCCAGGGATAGTGGTGCACGCCTGTAATCCCAGCTACTCGGGAGGCTGAGGCAGGAGAATCACTTGAATCTGGGAGGCAGAGGTTGCAGTGAGCCAAGATTGCACCACTGCACTCCAGCCTGGGTGAAAGAGTGAGACACTATCTCAAAAATAAAATAAAATTACTTTCTAAGGAATTTGTATCAGTTTCCAAAATCAACAGCAATATGTCAGTTTAACTGTGCTCTCACCTACACCAGCTATTAGCTTTTAAAAAGGGAGGAATGGGAGAGAACTGCAGAAGTCAACAGTCTTTGGCTGTCAAACGAGAAGTCAGTCAAATTATAAGTCTTAGACCACTACTTTAATTAAAGGATGTGACTACGTACCCAATTATTGCCCATAGTTTGCTAAACCCTTTCTTTTTCGCCCACCTATTGTCTCCTTTATATTTACTCTCTAGTACATGGCTTTCCTTCCTTTATATACTTTTTTCTTACCCACCAAGCCACACAGTTTGCCAAAAGCATATACTTACTGGTGAGAAATATATTAGTGGGTGTACTCCATTGTACATATGTGTGTGTGTCTTTGTATATACTATTCTTTTTTTTTTTTTTTTTTTTTTTTGAGAAGGAGTTTCACTCTTGTTACCCAGGCTGGAGTGCAATGGCACGATCTCGGCTCACCGCAACCTCCGCCTCCTGGGTTCAGGCAATTCTCCTGCCTCAGCCTCCTGAGTAGCTGGGATTACAGGCACATGCCACCATGCCCAGCTAATGTTTTTGTATTTTTTTTTTAGTAGAGACGGGGTTTCACCATGTTGACCAGGATGGTCTCGATCTCTTGACCTCGTGATCCACCTGCCTCGGCCTCCCAAAGTGCTGGGATTACAGGCTTGAGCCACTGCGCCCGGCCTAATGTATATACTATTCTTAACCTATATACTTGCACATGTGCATCTATGAAATAATAAATGTTTTTGTATTTTCTTGCAAAAATGTTGTTAATACAAAAAAGTGAGGGCAGAAGGAAAGGAAATAAACTAATTTTCTATGTGATAATTATTTTTAAAATACATAATCTGTTTATTATGCTTTGCTTATTTACCTACTATGGTCTCTGTTTTTCTCTTGGTAACATATTTAATATAAAGATAAAAATCCTATGTCATATTTACTTCCCAAATATATAAGCCCTTTTTAAAAACAGCAAATTTGTTGATTTTTTTTTTTTTTTTTTTTTTTTTTGGTGTGTGTTTGCCTCATCTGTCTTTAAGCTGAGAGATGTCCCTCATTTAGACCACTAGTTTTCCAAACAATGAACACTGCAGAACAGATGACATGACCTTCTCTAGAGTGTCCTAAAGCAAAGCTGAGTCTTCATTGCAGGGCCATCTCAAATCTTGACCAGCTCTATAATTTGCCCAGGCAGAGGAACAAGGGGTGGTGTGGAAGTTCCATGTCATGCTCAAGTCAGCTAGAAGTCCAAATTACCTACCCTTCATAACCAGCAAGGAACAATCAGACCTGGCAAGAGCTTTACACTACAGATGAGACCCAAAGTGGGCTACCTGGTACATCCTGTATGTCCAACAGGTCTTTTTTTTTTTTTTTTTAACTGCTCCTTACCAAGCAGGGCTACTCCATAGGCACTGTGCCCAGAGTAGCCTCCAACAGGTCTTTTGGTCCTATGGTAGATGCCTCAGATCCTAACTTATAGCTAGGCCCCCTTCAGCCAACAGACTCTGACAGGCCAACCCTCACTTTTTTTTTTTTGTGCTTTTTTTTTCTCTTTTGAGACAGGGTCTCACTCTGTCACCCAGGCTGGAGTGCAAAGGCGCAAGCAATCTCGGCTCACTGCAGCCTTGACTTCCTGGGCTCAGGTGATTCTCCCACCTCAGCCTCCAAAGTAGCTGGGACTATAGGCACATGTCACCATGCCCAACTAACTTTTTGTATTTTATGTAGAGGCAGGGTTTCACCATGTTGCCCAGGCTGGTCTTGAACTACTGGCTCAAGTGATCTATCTGCCTTGGCCTCCCAGAGTGCTAGGATTACAGGCATAAGCCACCACACTTGGCCAGACTCTTTAGAGTGGATGCTTCATATAAGGCACCTGGCCACATCTCAGTGCAACTATACATGCCCTGAGGGTTGCTTGAAAGTCATACCACACCTGTAAGAAATGGCAAGCATTTGGTCTTTATTTTCAGTATATACATTAAAGCAGAGAAGTTGAAGAACTTGGGTTTTAATATTAGCCATGAAGAAGGGGAAAGAATGACGGATCTGAAAGAATGAAGGATCAACACATACCTGATTTCGAAGCGGCTGCTGTTGTGATGGCCGATCCCGGTGTGTGTGGCTTTCTCGAGTTATTGCAGATGCACCAGAATCTACGTGAACTGACCCTACTGGAGTAGGCTGGAAAAACGAAACAAAAAGTCAAATGGGGGAAACAGGTCCACCTTGATGCATGTGCAAAGGACAGAATCATTATAATTCTAATAGAGTAGTAATTATTTTCAGCTACCAAGAGCACTTTCAAGTTGTCTTGTCTTCTCAGCTTGCTCATCTGCAAAAAGGAGGAAGCCTGGTCCTCCCTTTATATTAAATAGTTCGTTGGAGAATAGCTTACCTTCAAAAATACAAAACTATCCTCCAGTGATATCTATATGGCCCTGTGAACCTCTGACCAGAACAACAAGTCCAAAAGCTTCCTATGTTGCTGGGTTCCATTCCTACTGAGGCCAAGTACCTTAACAGTGTATGTAGCATCAACTTCTGAATCATGGGGCCGGGTGTGGTGGCTCACACCTGGGAGGTCAAGGCAGGCAGGTCAGTAGTTCAAGATCAGCCTGGCCAACATGGTGAAACCCCATCTGTACTAAAAATGTAAAACTTAGATGGGCATGGTGGTGTGTGCCTGTAATCCCAGCTACTCGGGAGGCTGAGGCAGAAGAATCACTTGAACCTGAGAGGCGGAGGTTGCAGTGAATCAAGATTGGCATCACTGCACACCAGCCTGGGCAACAGAGTGAGACTCTGTCTCAAAATAAAAAATAAAAAAACAAACAAAAAACACTTCTGAATCATTCAAATGAAACTTCTCCTAACCTGGCTCAAATTCTGGTATCACAGGACATACAAGTTATTATCTTCCTATATGACTAGGAAAAATACATAACTCCTTCCTACTTCTGAACTAGTAAGAACAACCTATGGCAACACCCTGAAAAGGCTGGTAAATATACAGTTTACAATCAAAGGAAGATTTTTACTAAAGATTCAAGCAGAAAGACCAACAAGTAAAGGTATCAGGTAGGGCTGGTTGGAGAAAGGAGGTAATGAGGTAAAAACAAGATACTTACAATAGGTCTCCCAACCCAATCATAGGCGTAGTCAAAGGTGTAGCCTTTCCTTTCAAAGAGGTCTGTGAAGAGAGTCCGTAAATACTCATAATCAGGTTTTTCAAAGAAGTCTAATCGCCTGACATATCGAAGGTAGGTTGCCATCTCCTCTGTTCAAAAAGAGATGAAAGGCCATGCTCATTAGCTGCATGCTTTCCATAGCAATTGTGGGGAAGCACTAGGCCACAAAAGGGTTATTTATACAGACGACCTGACACTGTTTTTTTAATGGACCAAATAAAAGTGATAAGATCTACTTTGGTTTGTATCACGAAAGGAAATGTTTATTAGCTAAACAGCACACTTGTTTCAAGATACCCAGCCATGGACTCTACTTGCTTTCAAAGCTCAATCACACTGACTGGAGTGTCTTTTTAGTATCCCACCTGGAAAATTCTCACAGAGAGCTTCAATGGGAGTATTCCTTTTGGTGTCACCAATTTTTTGATATCTCTCTTTTAATGTTTCAGCCTGTAGAGAGTAGAGAGAGAAAGTTATTTGAAAAGAGGTCCTAAGCATTGGAGATTCAATATGTTTTTAGAGACAATGGTTGTTGCACTCAAATTCGCAGTATTTGTTGGTCTTGATTTTTTTTTCTAATACTAACAAATAAGAAATGTAGTAGAAATCATATATTTAGATATATACAAACATCTGCTGTGTTCTGGAAAATTTTACTTGTGAAACTATTTAGTAGTCTCAGATAAACACCATCAAATCTAATGGTTGAGTGGCTAGGATAAGAAAATAATATTATGTGGCAATATTTTCAAAATTCAGTAATCTCCCATGGCTACCATAATTCAATGTGATTCAGCATTCTCTCTTAGATCAGCTCTGTAAGTATTGCTAATCCAGGTTGGAGAAATTCTACTCATATATATTGAAGACTTCAAACAGAAAAAAAAATTAACTGAAAAAATGTCCTTTGACAACGTGCTTCCAGAGGGAAGAAAAGGTATCTATGGTACAGCCATGGCTGACAGGTTTGGTGTATGTCAGTTAAAAGCAGCCCAAGTCTGGTATGCTCAGAGTGATAGCCAGAGGACTTCTGAACCCTGGACCAATGGTGGGCTCCTAAGGAATTCTTGTCAGGCTTTACCTAGCTTGCTGCATTCAGACTTAAGCAATAGTGTTCTGAAGTAATTAGGAGAAATTTTATATCTACAACTACCACAAAAATGATTTATGGACAACGAGAGAGTTTCGAGCAATTAATAATACACTAAAGCATTGTTTGGCTGTATGATGACCAAGTTTGATGTGAAATTCTATGTGAAAGCTATAAATATCAATGAGAAGATGTATATGATGTGGAGATGACAGGAGAAGAATTTAAGAGTGAAGAAATAAAATCTAAAAGGGAATGGGTAAAGTCTTACTTTTTAGGACAGTCTTCTAAAAAGCACAGCAAAATGAACCATCCTGCCTTTCTGGAAGAGAGGGTGTAGGAGTACCCCAAACTACTAAGTTTCTTTCTATATTAACATGTTGAAATAAATTATAACCAAAAAATATGTCTTGGGCCAGGCATGAGGGCTCACCCCAGTAATCCCAGCACTTTGGGAGGCCAAGATGGGTGGATCACTTGAGGTCAGGAGTTTGAGACCAGCCTGACCAACACGGTGAAACCTGTCTCTACTAAAAATAGAAAAAATTAGCTGGGCTTGGTGGCATGCACCTGTAATCCCAGCTATTAGGGAGGCTGAGGCAGAGATTGTAGTGAGCCAAGGTTGCACCATTGCACTCCAGTCTGGGAGACAGAGCGAAACCCTGTCTCAAAAAAAAAAAAAAAAAAATGTCTCATAAGACACTAATGGGTCTTACAATGGGTTTGAAACTCACCGTTTCCTGGACAAATAGCCAAAGGCACAGAGTGATGATAATGCTCATAATTATGATAGTAAACTGACACGTAGCCATTGTATTGACACCTACTTATGAAAGGCTATTTAAACTCTACACATTTTGCAATGAATAGCTACTGTCTGAATAGGCATTTATTCAATATACTTGAACAGCAATGTTAATCCTGGATTTTCATTTTAGTTCAGATGGGTCCTTAGCCTACATAAGATAAACGAATATTTTCTAAGTTCTCCTAAGGAGCACACCCTGCTGGCCTTTCTGGTAAAATGTGTAGCAGCTGTTGTTATCAATTTGTTCCAGAAATTCCCTGACATACTGGGAACACTCCACCTGCTACAGAATGGTAGTGGAGGAGGAATATCAACACAGAGAGAAAAGCAGCACTGTCAAGGCTGAGAGGAAATGAGGATAAAGATCATGGAAAATCCAAACACAAAGAAGGGAAGACAAATGTGAACAAAACAGCTTCCAAAGCTCAGGAGAGCATTTATAATGTAGACTAATGTAACTAGCCCGTTTTCTTATCTCCATAGCCAATTATCGTGTGTGTGTGTGTGTGTGTGTGTGTGTGTGTGTGTGTGTGTTTTTAATTGTTTATTTTTAAATAGAGATGGGGTCTATGTTGCTGATCTCAAACTCCTGGACTCAAGCAATCCTCCCACCTCAGCCTCCCAAATTACTGGGATTACAGGCATGAGCCACCATTGTATGGCCAGGCTCCTTAAAAACATGAAGCCAGAGGCCCCTTCATTAACAACTGAGCATTGAAACAAAGCCCTCCACTGAATACTTTCAAGGATACCTTGAGTCCTTGCCAAGGGAGGCTGCCTCGAAGGAAATACATGAACATATGGCCTAGGGCTTCCAAATCATCTCTCCGGCTTTGCTCTAAAAGGGAAGACAGATCACACATTATGTTTGCAGTTATTAAAGCAGAAAGAGGTTCAAAACTAAGTAATCCGTTCAGAAACGCTTCGGCTCTGGAAAGGCTCTGCTTATTAATTATTTGCATATTTAAGCCAAGGATAGTATTTTAGATCAAAACCCAAAACTAATGTGTACTTCCTTTGTCTAGATCTGTTGATGGTAAGTAAATATCAAGAGAAAAGAGCAAATCCTGAATTAAAACCAAGCACAAATCACTGAACAGTGAATAACCACCCCTCACTCAATGCTGTCACCTTCCTGAAAGTGAGTAGATTTTAATGAAATGCTATTTCCAGTATATGGGCTACAATTACCCTTTAGTTACCACCAGGGAGTAAGCAGCAGATAAGCAACCCAAACTGCTAAAACAGTCCATTCTGGCTAGGCCTGCAAAGAGACAAACTGCAAAATGGCTAGCATACGTGTCTAGTGCTTTTTATTCATCATAAAAATGAACACTTATAAATTCAGTTTCCTATCAATGAACATCAGTACATAGTCTCTTGGTTTCTATTAAATTTGTACCATGTCCCATAATCTCAACAACATTTTAAAATTTATTACTAAGGTCCCCTCAAAATTAGATGGGTAAAGCTGGGCACATCTGTAGTCTTGGCTACTTAAGCGGCTGAGGTGAGGCCAAGGGCAGTGGCTCATGCCTGTAATCCCAGACTCTGGGAGGCTGAGGCAGGTGGATCACCTGAGGTCAGGAGTTTGAGACCAGCCTGACCAACATGGAGAAACTCTGTCTCTACTAAAAATACAGAATTAGCTGGGCATGGTGGTGCATGCCTAAAATCCCAGCTACTCAAGAGGCTGAGGCAGGAGAATAGCTTGAACCTGGGAGGCAGAGGTTGGGGTGAGCTGAGATGGTGCCATTGCACTCCAGCCTGGGCAACAAGAGGAAACTCTGTCTCAGAAAAAAAAAAAAATGAGGTAAGAGGATCACTTCGGCCTAGGAGTTTGAGATAAGTCTGGGCAACATAATGAGACCTCATCCAAAACAAAATAAAACAAAAAATCAAAGTTCCTGTATTCTGGAAGTATATATGAAACAAGTTGCTGGGTTTTTCTCTCCTTTTAATTGGGAAGATGAAGATGACAAAGAACTGCAAAATAGTTAATAAAAAACTGCAACTTCATCTCAGAAAACATCCTACACATTCTTTGATTGTTAGACAGAATCTAAGTAGTACACGCCTTCATTTCTTTTTCTTTTTTAGAGAGAGTCTTGCTCTATTGCCTAGGCTGGAATGCAGTGGTGCGATCATGACTCACCACAGCATCGAATTCCTGAGCCCAAGGGACCCTTCTGCCTCGGCTGAGTAGCTAGGAATATAAGTGTGTGGAACCAAATCTGGCTAATTTATTTATTTTTATTTTTTTGTGAAGATTCGGTCTTGCTGTGTTGCTCAGGCTGGTCTCAAACTCCTGGACTCAAGCAATCCTAACGTATCAGCCTCCCAAACTGTTGGGATTATAGATGTGAGACACTGCACTGAGCCCATGTATTCATTTTGAATTTGCCAATTATGGTTCATTCTCAGACTTTTATTTTATTTTATTTTTTTTTTGAGACAAGGTCTCGAATTGCTGCCCAGGTTACAGTGTAGTAGCATGATCTTGGCCACTGCTGCCTCACCCTCCTAGGCTCAAGTGATCCTCCCACCTCAGCTTCCTGAGTAGCTGGGACTATAGGCACGCACCACCACCCCTGGTTACTTTTTGTTATTTTTTATGGAGATGGGATTTTGCCATGTTGCTCAGGCTGGTCTTGAACTCCTGGGCCAATCAAGCAATCCACCAGTCTTGGCTTCCCAAAAAGAGCTGGGACTACAGGTTTGAGCCACCAAACCTGGCCCATACCAGACAGTTTATGTGTTTATTTTTCAGAATCAAGTTTAGGGCTTTGTTAGAATAAATTATAGAAGCAAGACTAACAGGCTCCCTTCAACTTGATTGTGCTTTCTTTGTACAGAAAGTAAAACCCAAGAGAGCCAGAGAAAGCTGCTTAGCTAACTCAAAATACAGAAGTGCAATATGTTTAACTGCTACCTTATAGGGAGTTTGCATAAAAAAGAATAAATAGTAGTCTACAGGGTAGATAAAAAGAAAAGGCAACTTTCTAAATAGTGATTTGAAGGAGCTTTTAAAAAGATGGTCACTAATGGGAGGGAGGGGTACCCTGACAGAGATAAATAACATAAAACTAAGTTGGTATACATCAGTGAAAACAATCTTAAAAAGAATGAAATAAAACAACAAGACCATCAGAATCCTTTGTCTACACGGCTTGTCTGAAATTTGCAATAAAATATATATAATTGAAAACAAAAAAGCAGCTATACAAAAACAGTTTGTTAACAGAACCTAAAGATGCACAAATGAAAAAGAGAAAACAACAACCAGGGCGAGTGGAGGCCACCCACGAAGCAGGGCAGATAGAGACACGACTATGCAGTTTCTCATACTGTATCACATCTACTAATTGCCTCTCCATTTGTATATCCACTTTCTGTAACAAGAGGCCCCTTGGTCATTAAGAATTCACTGACAAATGTTTGAATTTTAGACAGTTGAGCACTAGAGGGCGAAACTCTCCACATTTTCAATATTGATCAGGCCTACAGAAAAGAATTTCTCAGCAAAATTATAAAATGAGATTAAAAATTTGTTTAAACTCACTGGAATAAGTAATAAAGTAACTTTTCAAATCCTGAGGAAAAAGAACTGTAGAATATGGAAAAATAGGAAAAATAAGGGTTCCTAAATCAAGAAGGATACCTAAATAAGGTACCTAAAATAAGGTACCTAAATCAGCTCAACGATTTAGGTATCTAGATCTTTGTTTATCCTTTCCACTAATTTAATCCAGTGAAATTAAGCATGACCAAGTCACCTCCTTTGGGTCTCAGTTTTCTCATCTGAAAATAAAGTGTCTGATCTGGAGAATCTGAAAAGTCATTTTCCAGCTCTAAAATCCTAAAATAATCTGGTAACTTAAAGCCATTAGGGCCTTTCAAAAAAAGAAAAAAAAAAAAAAAAAAAAAAAAAAAAACAGTGAAAACCAGAGCATGCTTTATTTTCATATGCCTTTGAACACTCCACGTTTGTCCAATTCATTATTTCCACATGCCCTCATTTTTTCATTTAGAATATTTTCATTTTCAAAGAAGAAAGGTTTCCAACACCAGTGAGACCAGCAGGACACAAAATTCTTCAACTCTTCTGACTGGGCCAAATGGAAGGTGTCATGGGGGTCATGGGGGTGGATCCCTCATTAACTGATTAATAACCTCCCTTGGGGGTGAGTTCCCAAGAAAGTTGGTTGGTAAGGAGGGCCTAGCACACCCCACCATGTGATCTGCACACGCTAGCACCCCTTCCCCTTACACCACGAGTGGAAGCAGCATGAGGCCCCTGAGGCCCACACCAGATGCAGATGCCAGTGCCATGCTTCTTGTACAGCCTGTAGAACTCTGAGCCAAATAAAGGTCTTTTCTTTAAAATTAACCAGTCTCAGGTAATCCTTTATAGCAACAGAAAATGGACTAAGTGTGGCTACTATGATGTGGCAACTAATTTAAGGTTTAGGAGGCTTTTTCTCTTGTTCTCCTCCTCCATAAAATTAAGAAGTGATTTTCTTAAAGCCGTTTGAAAATACACATCCCAGTCCTTTCTTCTTCATTGCAGTACAAAAAATGCAACACATTTAAAAACCAATAGAATCAGAGTTCCTATGAAAACCTCTATTGTTTGAGACATGAGAAAGGGTTAAAAAGCAGTTACAACTTCCTGTATGTATTCTCTGTAATGTGGAGAACACAAAATATGATGACAGGTTAGATTTCACTTGAAAAACTCTGGTACTCAGTAAGCCAAGTCTGGGAGTAAACTCAAAGTTCCAGCAGGAATGGCAGTACACCAAAAGATGAAACAGTCTGATGCACAGTAGATGCTTACAACATATTTTGTTGGATAAATAATAATCAGGATAATTATAATACATATTGACCTTACTATTATCAGGCATTATGCTAAACATTTTACATACACTGTCTCATAGAACTGTGTATTACAGGGATAATTATCACACCCATTTTATACATGAGATAACTGAGGCTGAGGGAGGAAGGATACTGGATCAAAATTACATAGCTATTAAGTAAGAGTGCCAGGATTTGCATCCTTTTTCTTAACCACTAACCTGTATCTCATACAAACAGAACATGAATATCCATCCCTTGTCTGTTCTCAACTTTCCTCTTAAGAACAATATAATTAGTACTCAAAGGCTGAGCCCAGGAAGCAGGCATTAGAACAACTTCTAGAGTTTGTCAGTTAAACCACACTATCATAATTTTATTATTTAAGATATAGTTTTTGTTTCCTTGTAAAAAGGAAAATTACTTGTCATTATGAAGGAAGGAGGGGATACTGAGGACTATGCAAGAGACCTATGTCAGGCATGGTGCTTTCACATATATTATCCATTCAACCCTCAAAATATCCTTGTGAAGCATTACCCTCATTTTACAGACGAGTTTCAGTGAGATTAAGTAACTTGTCCAAAGTAATGCTGATAATAAGTACCAGAGGACTTCTAGTCTAATTTTAAAGTATTACATTTATTTAAGTGAGGATTTCCATGTGGTTACTGAAAAATCCTGGTAACATCATAATTTCAAATCAAGTTGTATCACTTTGTAATGTCATTTTTACTCTTCACTATCACTTGAATTCCTCAGGTGAATAATCTATGTAGTTTACTCAATGAGGCAACTTAGTAGATATTACATTAGTCTTTAAATACTTATTAATGTGCAGGCCAGGCATGGTGGTTCACATCTAAAATCCCAGTACGTTGAAAGGCTGAGGCAACAGGATCTCTTGAAACCAGGAGTTTGAGACCCACCTGGGGAACACAGTGAGACTGTCTCTATAAAAAATTTTAAAAATTAGCTGGGCATGATGGCATGCCCCTGTAGCCCTAGCCACTGAGGAGGATGAGAAAGATTTCTTGAGCTTAGGGGTTTGAGGTTATAGTGAGCTATGATCACACTGCTGCTCTCCAGCCTGAATGAGAGTGAGATCCTGTCTCTGAAAATAAATATGCTGGGCATAGTGCCTCACACCTGTAATCCCAGTACCTTTGGAAGGCTGAGGAGGGCAGATCACTTGAGCCCAGGAGTTCAAGACCAGCCTGGCCAACATGGTAAAACCCCGTCTCTAATAAAAATACAAAAATCAACTGAGCATGGTGGTGCATGTCTGTATTCCCAGCTACTTGGGAGGCTGAGGCAGGAGAATTCTCGAACCCAGGAGGCGGAGGTTGCAGTGAGCTGAGACCACGCCACTGCACTTCAGCCTGGGTGATAGAGCAAGACCTCATCTCAAAATAAATAAATAAATAAAATACATATTGGTGTACAATAGTTCATTAATATTTAAAAATATTTCATAATTATTTCTGTCTAGGAGTATGGAATCTGATAATAATTGTTTGACTACTTTCTAGAATGTTGATTTTCAAACATATTTTTTTCCAATCATCTATGAGCCTTTTCTTCAAATAGAATCTTGCATGGAAGCCTAACATATGAAACATAAAAAAGGGAGGCTTTTTTGAAGAAGCAGGCAAGCCCAGGGCTCTGCCTGCTTGGTCTCCCCACTGGTCCTTAGGCTTCTCTGACAAATACTCTCCCCCTTGAGCTAGTTCCTCACAAGTGAGGTCTTCTGCCTTGATTAGAGCATTTCACAATATTTGTGCAGGTGTTTCTCCTGAGTAAAATGCAAGACTCATGGTAAAGCCAGTATATTTTCACTGCATAAGACATATGCTCTTCCTTGAAGACTTCTGTGCAGAACTATGTCCAGTGAACAGAGAATTCTACTCCATTTTTAGTGAGGCACTCTTCCCCACTGCAGACATCAGCCTGATATCCTTTTCAGGGCTGTCATATACGGGGTCATACCTAAGCAAATACCAAATTCATTACTAAACTCACTAAAATGCTATCCTCTTTTTACAATAATTCAAGTACTACACTGCTGAGAAACTAAATATTTGGCAACACAGTGTGAAGGATTAAGAACCTATGTATAGTCGATAGGATTCTTTGAAAAGTCACTAACTTATCATCTCAACTTCTCATGTATAAAAATCACTTAACCTTGTAAAGCAATAAAAACCACAAGTTGTAATGCACAATGAGGATATAAGTGTTACTGGAAAAATAAATTGATCTAATGACTCGCCCCTTTCATGGAGCAGAAAATAAACACACCTTTGCCAAGATGCGTGTTGATAGACATGTATCTTGCAGTTCCAGTTAAACTTTTGTGTTCCCTATAAGGTATGTGTTTTTTGGTTTCAGGGTCAATGTATTCCTTGGCTAGTCCAAAGTCTATAATGTGTATAACATGTTCTTTCTTATTGCCTTGTCGGCCAATCAGGAAGTTCTCTGGCTTGACATCTCGGTAGATGAGGTTCTTTGAGTGCACATATTCCATTCGAAAAAGCTGAAAGAGAAACAAATTATGAAAATACTCCAAAGAAGTGTATCAGGAAAATACATCAAAACATTTTCTTTTATCAGACCAAGGTTTTAATTACTGAAATAACAGTAAAATTCATCTCCTTTTCACCACCCAGAGTCACTTTACTGACCTGTAAACCAAAAAATATTTTTGTTATAAATACATACATAACAAATATCAAGACTAGGAAAAGAAAGTGGGATAGTACAGGTCTGCTAAAATGATAATTCAATTTTACCTCATAATGTCACAATTTGTAAATGATGAATGAAATTAATTGTTTATATGCTACATCAGAAAATTAAGCAGTTGAGGGAAAAGAAGTATTCCCAGGTAGGAGATATCAAACTGTTGGTGACCTTTGAGACAAATGCCACTGCCATATTCACCTCCTACCCACATCTTCCTATCCTTAGCTGGGCAAGACTACCTAATCCAGCTTTCATTGTTGTGAAGCCCAGGGAAGTTAATACTGACCTGATATCACATAGCTAATTAGCAGCAGAGACAGGGAAACAGTTCATTTTATTTTTTTATTTTTTGAGACAAAGTCTTGCTCTGTCTTCCAGGGTGGAGTGCAGCCTCTGCCTCTCGGGTTCTAGCGATTCTTGTGCCTCAGCCCTCACGGGTAGCTGGAATTATAGGCAGATGCCACCATGCCCGGCTAATTTTTGTATTTTTTTGTAGAGAGAGAGTTTCACCATCTTGGCCAGGCTGGTCTCAAACTCCTAACCTCGGGTGATCTGCCCTCCTTGGCCTCCCAAAGTGCTAGGATTATAGGCACAAGCTATTGTGCCTGGCTGAAACAGTTCATTATTGTTGTTATTTTACATTTATTTTAAGATTATTTTTGTAGAGATGGGGTCTCACTATGTTGCCTAGGCTGGTCTCAAACTCCTGTTCTCAAGTAATCCTCCCACCCCAACCTCCCAAAGTGCTGTGATTACAGACATGAGCCACCATGAATAATCATAAAATTATTTCAAATTGTATTATTTCTATCTACTAAGCTTTTTTACTTACTTTTAGTACAGAAAGAAAAGCTCAGACATTTAAATTTGGGGCTCAAAAGTCAAAGTCAATTATCTAACATTTCCAAATTTTTATAGGACAGTGGAAGCGATCATTACCATTTTAAACAAATAAAGATAAATTTACATCCTTCCCTAAAGGGCTGTGACAAACTTCTCAAAGAAACTGCAGAAACTGCTTCTTAAACTGGTATTGATGTGTAATTTTGATAAGAGTTACAAGAGCTGCCTCTTCAGGTGAAATTTGTCTCAGAGAGAACTGGAGGCCAGAGAACTACAGCAAATTCCTGGGCACACAGTTTTGAATCTGAGTGTTAGTGCAATGGGTTATACTGTCAATCTTTTCTTGATTGCAACAGTGAAGGGAGAGAGGACATGACAAAGCCTTACAGATACATGTTTAAAACATATAAATAGGTTGAGTGCAGTGGTTCATGCCTGTAATCCCAGCATACTGGGAGGCTGAGGTGGGAGAACCACTTGAGACCAGTTTAGACCAGCCTGGGCAACATAGTGGAAGCCTGTCTCTACAACATTTTTTACAAAATTAGCTGGCATGGCACCTGCAGTCCTAGCTGCTGGAGAGGCCGAGGCAGGAGAATTGACTGAGCCCAGGAATTTGAGGTTGCAGTGAGGTATGATCATGCTACTGCACTCTAGCCTGGGGACAGAGACCCTGTCTCAAAAACAAAAAACAAAACAAAACAAAATCAAAGAAATTATTTGCATTTTTACAACTCCATCTAATCATCCTCTTTCTCCCAAATCTAAATTCTATGCTTCCTGTCCAGTTAAGGGCAGAGCATTGCTCCAATGTGCAAAGTCTTAAAATAGAGCAAACTGCAGATGTAGTGTGACTTCTCTGAGTTTACCCTTTTTGCCCCAGCCAGCTTCCCAGAATGCCATCAAGCCTGTGAGTACTAATTCCTGATATGTCACTACAGCTTATAAATCACCAAAAGGCCCAGAAGGATGTGGCTGAGGAACCAGCCTATTCTCTTTTAGAGCAGCAATTCCAACTTACCAACTGGATGGCTATCATTAACACCGTCTTCAAAGTAAATGTTCGGTCACAGAGGTCAAACAAGTCTTCCAAGCTAGGGCCAAGGAGCTCCAGCACCATGGCATTATATTTCCCACATGGTCCAAAGTAATACACCTGTGGGAGACCTTCACCTGAAAGCAGAGGGGAAATGGGGGTACAGAGTGGGAGGCACAAAAACCAAAATATGAGAGAACAGTTTTAGCACTGAATAAAGTATTTTTAAAAGTACAGCTTGTGAGAGTTCCATTTTCTTTCATAGTCCCTACTGGAAACTTAAACTTGGCACAACAGCTTCAGTGGGAACTAATAACGGTGAGACAGGCTAAGCCATTGAACAATATGTTCAAATAAGTAGTTATTTAGTTATTTAATACCACAGTGCCAAAAACACTTCCACTGCTGTACAAGATAGAGAATGGTCCCTCGTCCACTGAATCTTCCCAAAGGATGCCTGAGAGTAGAGTATCATAAAAGGCTCTAAGGATGGCTCACTGAGATCAAAGACCTGGCTAACAGAACTTTTTACATTAGCTGGTTCATGAGCACTCCCTATACTTACTGCTATAGCCACATGGGCTATTTGCAACTGTTGCCCTATGGAGAACTCCAATTGAAGAGGCAAAGTCACAGAGAGTACAGCCTGGTTCTAGGCCAGCACAACTTGCCCTCTTTTCACAGGCAGTTTCTGCAGTTTTTTGTTTTCTATCAGCTGGAGAAAAGCCAACAGACACTTAAGTGTTTGGTTGCTAATAAGTATTGGTGAAAGAAAAAAGGGGAAGAAACACAAGGCTGGGTTTTCCCCAGATTTGAAATTCATTGCTATTAAGAAGCTAAAATCCAGACTTTTTCACCTAAGTGGCAAATTGTTAATAAATTTTCTTTACAAAGTGCATTGTAAATATGAGGCATTCACTAAATATATAACTGGTACCATGAGAATAGTAGGCATTAATAAGATTACAGAGGCTGGGCATGGTGGCTCACGCCTGTAATCCCAGCACTTTGGGAGGCTGAGGTGAGTGAATCACAAGGTCAGGAGTTTGAGACCAGACTGACCAACATGGTGAAACTTCGTCTCTACTAAAAATACAAAAATTAGTGGCACGTGCCTATAATCCCAGCTACTTGGGAGACTGAGAGGCAGGAGAACAGTTTGAACCCAGGAGGAAGAGGTTGCAGTGGGCTGAGATGGCGCCACTGCACTCCAGCCTGGGCAACAGAGCGAGACTCTGTCTCAAAAAGAAAAGGAAAAAAAAGATTACAGAACATTAAAAAATTATCTTGTTTCATAAAGCAGAAACATTTCCATTTTATACATTTATGTATATAGTGGTCTACAGTTATATGTTGTAGATTATTGTTTGCCTCTGCCTCCAAGTGTTTTAGACAACAGAATTCTCTCCATCTTCCCACTCCTGCCACCTTTTTTTTTTTTTTTTTTTTTTACTTGAGGCAAGGTCTCAATGTTACCCAGGCTGGAGTGCAGTGGTGACACTGCAATCTCTGCCTCCTGAGACAACGCAATCTTCCAAGCTTAGCCTCCCAAGTAGCAGATGGGACTACAGGCTCGCTCTACCACACCAGGCTAAGTTTTTTATTTTTTGTAAAGATGAGGTCTTGCGATGTTACCCAGGCTGGTCCTGAACAACTCCCATACTCAAGTGATCCTCCCTCCTTGACCTCCCAAAATGTTGGGATTACAGGCCTCCCAAAGTGCTGGGATTACTGTTCCCTGCCCCATTCCCTGTTTATTTGTATGGGTGGCATATAGGCAGATGTACATGCAACACATCCTTCTTTCCAGGGTAGTTCTTGTATATTTGGAATTAATAACTATTTCATATATTGTATTAGTCTATCTTGATCCATTAAATTCTAAACAACTTTTTTTTGTGGGGGAGGCAGGAAAGAGTCTCACTCTGTCACCTTAGGCTGGAGTTTAGTGGCATGATCTTGGCTCACTGTAACTTCTGCCTCCTGGGTTCATGCAATTCTCGTGCCTCAGCCTCCCAAGTAGCTAAGATTACAGGCATGGTGTCCAACAAATTTTTTTGTTTGTTTGTTTTTGTATATTTAGGAGAGACAGGGTTTCACCATGTTGGCCAGGCTGCTCTCAAACTCCCAACCTCAAGTGATCTGCCCACCTCAGCCTCCCAAAGTGCTGGGATTACAGGCGTGAGCTACCATGCCCGGCCTAAATCCTAAACAACTTGAATGTCTTCTTTAAATATGTTTAGTCCTAGCTTATATCTTCCAATAAATATTATTCCTGATAATTCAATAAATATCTATTCAATTGTCTTTTGGTTGTTTTGATTCTCCCTATCTCCAAAACAGAAAAGGATTTAATGTGAAGTTTTTTTTTGTTTGTTTGTTTTCGAGACAGAGTTTCACTCTGTAGCCCAGGCTGGAGTGCATTGGTGCATCTCAGCTCATTGCAACCTCCGCCCCCCAAGTTCAAACCATTCTCCTGCCTCAGCCTCCTGAATATGTGTCTTTTTTCTCTGTTGTTTTGAAGAAGTCATTTTTCAGTTTTTTTTTAAATATACAAAACCCAGTAGTTGTTTCCAATGACTCCTGCTGAGACATCCAAAGCAGAACATTCTGTCCTAGAGATTTACTGCTTTTATTAATCAGACACATGGTAAATGCAGTTTAGGGATCTTTTAAATTTATCTCCTATATAAGGATTTCATGCCACTAAAATGTTATTTTCCTAATATAAATATTATATTCTTCAAAGCAGGTTGTGGCAGAGCCTGCTGTTTACATGACCAATAGCCATTCTCCCTCTCCTTTTTTCTTTTGTGACAGGGTCTCACTGTGTCACCCAGGCTAGAGGGCAATGGTGTGACCACGGCTCACTGCAGCCTTGACCTCCTGGGCCCAAGCAATCCTCCTGCCTCAGCCTTCCAAACAGCTGGTAGCACAGGCACATACCACCACATCAGGCTAGTTTTTAAAATTTTTTCGAGAGATGAGGTCCCACTACGTTGTCCAGGCTGGTGTCAAACTTCTGGGCTCAACTGATCTTTCTGCTTTGACCTCCCAAAGTGCTGAGATTATAGGCATACCTCTCCCTCGCTTTTTTTTTGAGACGAAGTCTGGCTCTGTCGCCATGCTGGAATGCATCGGTGCGATCTTGGCTCAATGCAACCTCTGCCTCCTGGGTCTAAGAGGGTCTCATGCCTGAGCTTCCCAAGTAGCTAGGACTATAGGCACACACCACCACACTCAGATAATTTTTATATTTTTAATAGAGATAGGGTTTCGCCATGTTGGCCAGGATGTCTCAATCTCCTGACCTTGTGATCTGCCTGCCTCAGCTTCCCAAAGTGCTGGGGTTACAGGTGTGAGCCACAATGCCCAGCCTTCCATTCTTTTAAAATAATTTTTTTTTTTTTTTGCTCTGTCGCCCAGGCTGGAATGCAGTGGTGCGATCTCAGCTCACCACACCCTCTGCCTCCTGGGTTCAAGTCATTCTCCTGCCTCAGTCTCCCAAGTAGCTCGGATTACACGCCCCTGCCAACCATGCCTGGCTAATTTTTGTACTTTTAGTAAAGACGAAGTTTCATCTTGTTCATCTTTTTGGCCAAGATGGTCTTGAACTCCTGACCTCAAGTGATCCACCTGCCTCAGCCTCTGAAAGTTCTGAGATTATAGGCGTGAGCTACTACACCTGGCCCAGAACTTCTAATTGTTGCAGATAGCAACTTGCCCAGTTATAACTCCAATCTTCCTTGACAATTAGGGAAGACCAATGAGATGGAAGCAGAAATGAGTGTATAATTATTATTATTATTTTTTTTTGAGATAGAGTCTTGTTCTGTTGCCCAGGCTAGAGTGAAGTCACACAATCTCAGCTCACTGCAGTCTCCGCCTCCTGGGTTCAAAGCTGGGACTACAGACACGTGTCGCCATGCCCAGCTAATTTTTGTTTAGTTTTTGGTAGAGATGAGCTTTCGCCATGTTGGTCAGGCTGGTCTTGAACTCCTGGCCTGAAGTGATCTGCCTGTCTTGGCCTCCCAAAGTGATGTGATTACAGGCATGAGCCGCCACATATAATTCTAAAAAAGCTCTTTCAAGAGAGCTGGCCAGAGTGAAAGGTGTGACCCTCTAAAGGTCCCAGAAGCCACTTAGAATCACCAGACATCTTGAGGATGTAAAATAGTGCCAAGAATAGGTGAAGCAAAAAAGAGAAGAACTCAAGTCCCTGATGGCTGTGGGGTAATCATGCCAATGTTGGACTTTTCTTCCCTCTGGACCTTTTTTTTTTTATCAAAAAGAAAAGTCAATCTCCACCTTGACTGAGCTACTTGTAGTTGGATTTTTTAAAAGCAGCCAACTCTAATCCTAATTAATAAACGTATCCCTCCATTCATTGGTTAAATTACAAATCTGGGCATAATATCCTCTTTCTAAAGTACAAGCTAAAAGCCAGGCTTGCTTAGAAATATAATACTGGCATAATTCCCTACACTTATTGTCAATACTTAAGGTTCAGTTTAAATGAGACAACTGATCTTGTTCTCAATAATCTTTAGTATCAAATCTAGATATGTTTTGCAAGAAATTTCCATGTTTACAATGAAGTCACAAAAGCATTTTGAGTAATACCTATAATTTCTAACTATAATGTCACCCATAACTCCCACCTAGGAACTTTAAAGAATTAGGAGTTCCTGCTTTTATTAAGTACCCTGAGACCTCACAACACACTGGCAGGCTTTGGGATGCTCAAAGCAACTTCTAAACCACTGAGTGGCTTTGAAGCATTTCTAGGAGAGGGACAAGGTCCAAGATACTAGTGTAGAAAGAGCTCAAGTCAGAGTCTTAGATCTAGTATTTGCTTCTGCTTTCAACTCTGGCAAATTCCTTAGCCTCTCTGGATTAGCTTATTCATCTGTAAAGAGGAAGGGGTTTACACAATGAGATACCATCTCATGTCAGTCAGAATGGTGATTATTAAAAAGTCAGGAAACAATAGATGCTGGTGAAGCTGTGGAGAAATAGGAACACTTTTACACTGTTGGTGGGAATGTAAATTAGTTCAACCATTGTGGAAGATTTCTCAAGGATCTAGAACCAGAAATACCATTTGACCCAGCAATCCCATTACCGGGTATATACC